CCTTTTGTTAGAGGACCGTGTGAGTGTAGACCGAGCACCAGCCAGTTTGAATGAATAACAGTTCTGAGAGGCGTTTGGGCAACTGCGGTCGAGGACTGAAGCTTGGGAAGAGGGGCGAAGAGAAAGAAATAGAAAGAAATAAGTCATTATTGTTTCTGTTTATGGGCTCCACTCTATCTGATACCACATATTCACCAGGTTTCACCTAATTTGTCCCGTTCTCTCCTCTTCCAAAGCTTTGAAGCGCCAAGTAGGCTAGGTGTCCACTACGACTGCTCTGTGATTCGCATCTCCAAAACCACGGACCGAACCGAATCTGCCTATGATCCTCCATCGGTTTGACTCCAAGTCAGTTGACTTCCGTTGTCAACTGAATATCCCGCCGTCCACAGAGTCGCACGTCACATCGCACATCATCACACAGCGTCTTTTGTGAGCTTGTTGAAAAACCGAAGTATACCAGTGAGGCGATGACAGTCGTACCCTGGGCGCACAATGCATTTTTCTGCAAAATACTTGCGGGTGAAATAAAAAAATTACGGTAAAGTGTTCCATTTTTTGCACATGCGCTCAGTCCGAAAATAACCCCCGGTCTCAGCGATATTGGGAAGTTATCCAATCGGACTTTTCCATCATTTATAATTGCTCCATTAAACAACGCACTTTGGTGAGCCGGAAAAATGCTGAAATATATTAGGTGTTTTTTGGCTTGAGCACATACGCAACAGAATGCAACATTTTGGAGCAAGAAGTTTTACTTCTCGCTTAAAGGCTTTGCAGCCAAGTGCATGATGCGGACATTGGGTCTCTCCTAAATATCCCGCCGTCCACAGAGTCGCACAAGTGTTTGTTGGAAAATTCGGGGCTGTATCCTTTTCATCCTTTACGTTATTTGAGAAGTCAATACATGAGGGATAGCTATTTGATGTCCGTGCGTTCATCCAGTAATCGAAGCACCAACGATGTTTTGCACGACGAACCGGCGTACTTCAGACGCAGCAAGCGACCTTCAGGACCAACGGATAGTCGAGGAATCCGAAGAAGCTAGTAAGCTGAGCGTAATCCATTATTTTTGTGTTTGGAATCTACAGTGAGTTTTCAGTGGATGAGATCTGTTAGGGACTAGGACCTTATCAGCGTGTTCGGATAAATTAACAAGCAAAGTAACTAATACAAAATCACAAAATCACAATAGGAAAGGGGTGCGTAGTCAAATGGGGACTCACGAATTTGTAGATGCAATGGTCCACTACACCGATCCAAATGCAGTAACTGGCTGTGAGAGGAAATATTCCCTTGTCGGAATTTCCCGCAGATGGTTCCGCGTGCGTGATATATTCCACGGTAGAAAAATTATTCACGGCTAAAAAATGTCACAGGGATTTATTGTGACGTTCAACAGTTGACACAATCACAGAGATTCAGTCCCACTGGTTCAGCAGTCAACAAACAGTTCAATGGAGCATAAGTGCACTCGTTCAGAAAGAAGTCAGCAGGTCGCGCCGGAAAATTGTGTATTCGTAACGTCAAAACAGACGTCCTGATACAATGTGAACGACAGTTATAAAGTGTGGTTTAAGTTCAGGAAGAATGGTAAATGTGACAACGGATTACAGACACTACAGATCTCACTAGTCAAGAGCACCGCGGAATGCTACAATAGGCTAATGTATGATTTCTTGTTTTATATCGTGAATCGGTTTAAAAAATGGGAATCAGTAGTGGTCGATGATCTTGAGATTTTGCTCGCCTAATCAAAATGCTATGAGCAAGATATCACCGAAAATTGCAGATTTATTAGACCAACTCCCCGTAAATTCACAACATTGGATACACCATACTTTCGCTAGAACAATTTGTGTTTACTTGCGATGAGTGGCATCATCTTCTGCCTTCATCCACCCAGAAGGAGAACGGGAACTAGAGTCTATGTGACTTCGGCTACCCACTATTGTGCACATTCCAACTTAGTTCATCTATTAATTTACTGTGGTTGACTTTGGGGCTCCAGACCAGAGTAGACTCTGATATTGTCAGAAATATTGAACACCATGTGATGTGTAAAGTGGATTTTAAAGTAAAAACACAACGTAGTGGAATAAGATGTCATAACATCCTGTTCGATTGCGATGGGTTTCGATTTTTACACATGGTGTGTTTGACCTTGCGCGATTTTGAAACGCATCTGGCGTTTTCGTCGTAGCCGCAGGCGATGATTGGGTGTTCGGTGGCCCTGAGGTTTCACACAGGTCGCAATGTGTTACTCGACTTGAGAAATGTCACTTGTGTGAAAGCTATGAGTACACTTCAGAAAAAGTACCACCCTTGGATAGATCTGCCTAATGACTATCCGTTTCAGTCCTGAAGTCCCAACTAAAAAGGAAGAGCCATATAAATCTTATAGTCCTTTCAAGCCAGAAGGGAAATTTGACTATGTCATCACCCGGACAGATGATCTCATAAATTGGGCCCGCAAAGTGGTTTCATTCAATTCCTCATCGGTTGTTTTGCTCACTAGAATTCAATCTGGCCAATGACATTCGGGTTGGCTTGTTGTGCCCTGGAAATGATGCAGATGGCGGGGCCCCGGTATGACATGGATAGGTTTGGGGTGGTCTTTCGAGCAAGTCCACGGCAAGCGGATTTAATGATCGTGGCAGGCACTGTGACAAACAAAATGGCTCCTGCCGTTCGTAGGTTATGGGACCAGATGACCCACCCCAAATGGGCCATTTCAATGGGATCTTGCGCCAGTAGTGGTGGATACTATCATTATTCTTACAGCGTATTGCGAGGAGTGGACCGGATAATCCCGGTCGACATATATGTTCCAGGTAATCCGCCAACGTTGTATAAGTTGGGTGTTTCTTTTTTACCTTGTGTATCTACTGGTTATTCAAGTTTTAGTATCCCTCTGGACAATTTGATTTGCGTTTCACTCATACATGCATGTACATATACATATTTTGTTTAATTTTCCGGACAACTTGTTTTACGCACGCGTCATTTTTGTTGAGCATGGTTTTAACCCCAATTTAAATCCACTAACAGGGTGATCTGTCTTCTTGTAAGAATGCGCCGTTCTGCAGGTAACTGAATAACAAGTTGTCAGGATGTTCACTATCAATTTTGTTTCTCTTTGGTTTACAAATTTCCAGCAAGATGCTCATCTGCAACCGTATCTAGATTGACGGCTGGGAAAGTTTTTAGTCTATTCTTCGCCACCAATTATGTTCCAACAAAGAGCATCATGCTGTCGTGTTGATACTGCTTTGTCAGTTTGCATAACTAACTTGCAAAAGATTATTCATTTCATTTAGAAGTTGGGTCAGATCAGTGTCTCAAAAGATATTTAGGGGATAACATTAGAAGCAACGTCAGCGCAACATTTATCTTCACCTTCACAGGCTGCTCAAAGCCCCAGTTTCGGGAAGTGGGGTGGTCTGAGTATGATTCTCCATTTCGCCCTCTATAATGCATGTACGTAAGCAGAAATTTTCATCAACGGATCACCAAAACCATGGTGCTCTACCTTGTACCTACAACTTGGTCCTGTAATAAATCCGAATGTTGCATTTTCATTCTTGAATAACAGATCATTGCTTACTCCTAGAGTTAGGTTGACGGGGCCTTAAGAAGATGCAGCGTGATGTAGATGGTAAAATAAAATAACCGTCCAGCTGTAGCACCCTTCCGCTTCCTAGCTACCATACCGCCCGAAGAAAGCACGAGGGCTAGGACACTGCCAAGTTGCTCAAGCCTATGCAGGAAAAGTGGCGATGAAGAGGTTCGAACCACCACGGACCTTTCGGTTAGTAAATTCGTGCTCCAACTACTGAGTCATCTTGCCCAATGTAGATATTCTGCAGCCAGATGAAGCCCACCTACTTAAAGTATCTCGGCTTACTTATTGGGGAAGGCGTCGCAATCCCGAAAATGATCGAATGTTCAAACGTGAATGTCGTGATCCGTCGGAGTTTCGGAGAGAAAATCCCCAATGCAGGTGCTATGCGAGGGCCTCCGGTTTCTCTCGTCTTTTTCTTTGTTGTTCACCCAGATGACCAGCACACACTAGGTGTTCGTCACTCTCTACGTTCTTTTGGTTTGTTTGAACAGTTTTGAAATTTATGGCATAGGCCTCATTTCTGTGCCTTAGAAGTAAAATCACTGACCTAGAACTGATACGGAGAACATCAACCGGAGTGACCAAAGAGGTGAGGGACCCGCTTGTTCCCGAAGTTCCGTCATGCTTCAGAAGTTCATTACAAGTTGGCGTAGTTCTTTTACTTTTACAAGTTTTCGTTTTAAGATGCAATCTCGAGGTCAGGAAAAATTTTCCACCAGAGGAATAAATAAGGTCTGGAAAAGCCAAACTCTTGAAAGAACTATTTGTTCTTTGTAGCTTTTTCGAAAATTATGGCTTGTGACACGCTCAACAAGCTACTTTTAGTATACTTACATTGTGACAAAATACAATCCTTGGAAGAGTGCTTCATCTGGACTTAACCCAATCCCAATTTGTCTGGTCATTCAAAAGTGGTGTTCAACAAAAACAGAGCTGACGCAGATCAAGATCCTGCGTTTCACTACTAGCTTTCAAGTAGGAACACCAATATCACTTTCCAAGGTGTGTGCAGCATTTTAATTCGACAGTTATCTATAAATAAGGCACTACTTCAGCCAAAACGAAATATAGTACCCGTAGATCAACAGAAATTGTGGTAAGATGAGTGAAGCTAGGTGGTTATTAAGGGGTGGTTAGCTTTTTTTCGTCAAGGCATAAAATATGTCGTCTTAGAGTAAAATTGCGTAACTCTCGTGCAACCGGGTGCAAAATTTAACACTGAGCTGCGGGTTATGGAACTTTGGTTGAGGGCAAACAACTAATATATATAATGGACAGAGAAGATAGCCCACAAGCTATAAAAAGTGCGAACCTGCCACCGATTTCAATATATAGTTCATTTAGATTTTGTTGGGTGTCTATTTCACCGAACAAGTGTGGTTTGTTGGCGCGAAAAGAGGGCCATGCAGGCTCAAAGCCCTAGTTTTTGTCGTAATGCAGCATACGCACAAAAACAATTTGAAGCTATCAATTATCGTCCTAGAAACTTTTCTCTCGGAAACGACCGATCCCTTGTAACGCAGACAAATTTTTGGTCTGACCGTTGCTTTTTTTGAAACAGTTTCGGTGGAAGCACTCTCTTAGAGAAGAGCGCATGCCAAAAATATCCTCGATGGTGGGCATATTTCTGTCACCACACTGCACAGGCATCCCAACTCAAGTTGATGATTCTTAGAACTTGCAAAGAGTGTTTTGATGAAACCGTGTTCTTCACATATTTACCAGACGACACCTTAGAAAATCAGTAACCGATTGAAGTCACGAAGCAAAGTGGCAGCTGCCACTAGCAGTATTGCTTTAACTCCTCAAAACTTTAGGCCGTAATTTTATAGTGTCTGGTATTTTTGCAATTGCTGTAGCTAAATGTGTGTACCGAATGTTGACTGAGTTGATATGATTGCTCCTGATATTTAGTGTGCCGAGCAAATTATTGATGTTCTTGGTTCAGAATGTCGGTTCATCAAAAATACCATGTAATGATTCCTGACAGACTATGTTTTTAGAAATATTACAGGCGTAAAGTCTCGTCTCAAAATCTTACGTATTTATACTGAGTTGTGGATCAAACGTGACATTTGTCTTGTTTTATCTTCGAATTTGACTTTGCTTTGATCTTTTAGGGGATGGTATGTTTGTCTCATTGTTCCTCCCTTCTTGTCATTTGGGGTGTTATGAATGAAGTGGTTTCTCTTTCGGCAATTCCAAATTGGGACACGCAGTACTGATTCAATAGATATTTAGGCTCATCAAACATTATGGCACCAAACTTATGTAGCGAAATTGCGTTTCACACCTTCGATGCAATTCCGCAGGGTCGGTAGTCGTGCAACAGGTAGTCTGTTTGCTGAACTTTTAGTTTCTAAAGGTACCTTGTTGCTAATACAGGTAGAATGAAACAATGTAGCTCTGGATATTGCTTTTCCTTAACAGTATGGAGCAGAAATATTTTACGGTGTCTGCATTTTGATGCATAAACGTCTATCGCTTGACAGTTTTTCTTCTCATGATCTACCTATTATTCTGGTGCCCTGGTTTTGTACTTGTGACAGGTATTGTCTCTCACCTTTGGTGCGTGCGGAATAAGTAAGCTGTCCGCACTGTACCTCTGGCCAAATAAATGTTTAATTTAGCACAATGACCACCTAAAGATTTCACGTGTGGATTTCTCAGCGTTAGTGGGTGGCTCATATTCCCGGCACTAGTTAGCCCATCGGTTGATATTGCACTGTAATGACGAGTTAATTACAGAGGAGTTTTCCTTTCTTCATAGTTCTATGCTGTCCACGAATGACAGGCAGTTATATCTGGTAACAAATCGATGAAGATTGCAAACAGTGTGTGATGCACCTCACTCAAGCCTCACTCAAGCACTGGATATCATACCAAACATGTGCACTACTTAAACCTAGGAGACACATTCCAGCCGGTTCCAAACATAACTTTATGGGACAAATTATCAGACGTCCGCGTGTGAGCCGACCATGAAGTCTGTCGGAAAAAAAAAAAAAACAGGGAAATGGATGAGACCCAGAAAGTTGGTAATGCCCAAAGATTATTTCAGTTGATCGGCGCGAGCAGCCTCTTCTATGCTGGAAACTATCAAGGATTAGATTGAAGTGACCCTTCTGAATAAAGGGTTCCCAGACTAGTGGGCCGAAAGACAGCTATCATGGCCTCCAGCTTTCACTTATCTTCAGCCCACAGTTGACACGGAATCCCTGGCGGTGAAATCGGAGCCCTCTGTGGCCTCGGAAGTTTGACTGCATATCTTTTTGCAAGCGCCACCGAGCCTCTGGGCCGGATAACCTCACACCCACGTTGTTCAAAGGTAGGGGTGAAATCCTCAGTAAACATAAGAAGTTCTTTGTATTCTTAGACTTCCGAACATGTTAGGGTATACAATGAGCTCTTCAAAAGCCTCCGTTCACAAAGCGGTGCCCATCATGGATGCCTACTCTCCCCATTCCCGTTTAACTTCGTGATCGATGAAATCATGAACGAACGCTGAAAGGTCTCCAAAATCACGGTGTTCAAATAGCCTGTGACGAGAAACTTGTCGATCTGGAGTGCGCAGGCGATTGCCTTTTCGTCTTTAAAAAGGAGATATCGCAGATTGTTTTGGATATACTGACTAAATTTATCCAGCCTTTCGCACCCGCAAAGCGTAAGATCATCCTCATGGACGCGCATTCAATGAACACGCCAATTACAATCCAGGGAGAGGAACTGGAAGTTGTGAAGAGTTTTGCGTATCTTGGATGTTGTATAAGCTCTGATTGTAGTGTGACAGATAAGGGTGTTCTCCATGTCCAGCTCAGAGTAGCGGAAGAAAAGAGGTGGCTAACCCTAGACCTGGCAGAGGAGTATGAAGGAGAAATGTTTGGGTGCTGTTTGTGCTACTCGCCTTACAGGATGGGTATCGTGTGAGTCTCACTGCGTCTGGTTGAAGACACTACAAGGTATGACTGCCAACTGTTGTCAATGGCGTTTTAGTTGTCAGTTTCAATGCAGATTGTCTGAGTGAATGTCTGGAGGTGTAGACACTTTGGAATGGTTGCACTAATTCCAATTCCTGTACACAATAAGGCCCTCAAATAAATCATGGTTTTATGGCAGCGAATCATCGGTGTTGAACACTATTATCAATCGGTCGATGCTGATGATGATAATGGCTTGCACTCATACATTTATGTTGAGTAGAGTAGGGTACTCCTCATGTGTAAAGGATGTCGTCACGTGCTCTTTTGATTGGTTTCTACAACAGTCTTGAGGACATCGTCATCATCAACACTGACACCACGACATCAGTGTTCAACACCGATGCTTCATTGTCGTACAACCATGATTTATTTGAAAGCCTTATTGTAGAGAAAAGAGTAAAGGTGGATGGGGAAGGGACTTATTGATAGCCTATCACAATCATTCCGAGGTGCCTATACCTCCAGACACTCACTCAGGAGATCTGAATAGAAACCGACAACAAGAACGGCACTGGCAACGGTAGACAGCCATATCCTGCTGTGTCTCCAACCAGGCACAGTGAGGATCAGGCGGTCTCCATCCTGGAAGGCGAGTAGCACCGACAGCACCCAAGCGTTTCGTTATCTTCATAATACTCCTCTGCCAAGTCAAGAGTTGGCCACATCTCTGTTTATGCTACTCTGAATTGGGCATGGAAAACAGCACTCTCTTCGGCAAACAATGGTTCGGCACACGCAACACATGTCCCAACCAACGCAGCTTCTGGTGCTGGGCACATTCTTCAATGGAAGTACCCGTTACACAACCGAAAACACGCTTTCTAACTGTCTGGTTACGGATTCGCCGACACTAACCCACATGAGCTATGGTTCTGAGACAACGATTGCCGAACACCTGAAGACGTCTCAGTTCCGCGGCTCGAATAGGCCAAGTCTCACAGCCATACGACAAAACAGCCCGTACTGTAGCTTGATACACACGTCCCTTTAGATTCAGAGATAAACCAT